TCTGCAGGAGATCTTGGATGCCTTATCCAAGAAAGCAGCCCAGCTTTCCGTCGAAGAGCCTCCTGTGAAAGTTGAGGCCGTAGACCCTCAGGCAGCCGCAGTCCAGGCCGCCATCGCCAAGCACAAGGCCGAACAAGAGGAAGCCTCGAGACAGTTGCGCGACTGGCTGAGCGGGGAACGTAAAGACTGGTTCACCGCTGCTCAGCTGAAAACTGCAAAGGCAAAGTTTGTCTTCAACTTCAACCGCTGCGACGCGCAGGATGTGATCGACAAAATGATTGGGAACGGCCAACTTCTATCTGCGCCCACAGTCTTGCCTAAGGTTGGTCAGACGACACTCTACATACCGATCTACCCCTGCAAGCGCTCTCTCGACGCGGTGGTCTCCCTGGATCACGACACAGAGATGATCTTCATAGAGGAATACCATGTGTCTGGCGTTCGATCTCGCTTGGCAGCAGACTGTTCGCGAAGTTTGAATATCCGGACTCTCGCCGAGAATCACAAGAAGAAACGTTCAGCGCAGCTGCCGGGCAAAAAGAAGGGCGCTCCTAAGCGCAGCACAGACGTGGATGCTGCTGACGGCGACATTTCAGCGGACCTTCTCAATGCACTGGAGAAGCAGACATCCTTGCATCGAGAGGTTCTCGAGGCGGCTAGCGCTACAGGGCAGCAGGAAACTGATTCGACAAAAGAGAATCTCTATGTGACAATGCAGCGTCAGTATTTCTACCCCAAGGACATCCGCTGCCGCCGATATGTTACAGAAGTCGGCGCTCAGAGTGTATCTCGACTCACACGAGCCATCTGCTGCCCTCACACAGCTGACTACGACATCTCCGCGGCAATGTTCAATATCGTCGTACAATTGTGCGACATGGTAGAACCGACTGGCTTGGACATTCCCTCATGGCGTGCTGTTGCCACGAGTCGCAGCCGCGTTTGCAGTGACCAGCTCAAGTGCACCGAGTCGATCGGCAAGAAGATTCTTACAGAAGTCGCCAATGGAGCGACGCCTTCAAGCTTTACGAACATCGCGAAGCCAGGTCTGACATTTTTGACAGCACTGTCGACGGAAAGTCGCTTTCTGCGATGGCTTGCATGTTCCCAGTTGCAGACCCACTACGTTGAGCTACGTCGCAGTTCTAGGAATCACTGGCCAGAAGCAAGCATCTTCGCCCTGTGGTGGACTGTTGCGGAGGATTTAATCCTCCAGTCGATGACTCGTGTCGTTCGGCAAGGCGAAGTCGCAGGACATGTCTCGTGTCACTTCGATGGTATTCTCATTGCAAGATCTCTGGCGCAGTCCATCGAAGAGAGTACCGGCAAAAGCATGATCTCTCTTCTTGAAGAAAACGTGCTGGAGCAAACGAGGTTCAAAGTTACGATCAAAGACAAGACCGTCCCATCTTTGGATGAGTTGCTGGACAGCAGACTCAAACCAAGTCAGGTCGAGTCCAAATTGAGCACATATGCGGAAACTTTGACTGCTATATCCAACTCCATTCCTGCAGCACTGGTTTTCCTGGGTGCGGATTTGAAGCAGATTATTCTACGTCTGCGGGAAGAGTCTCCCGCAAACACGAAAGCAGAGACTCGTCACGTTCGACAGTATTCTGACTGGAACGGTTGCGGCGACCTGCACCTCCTGCCGCGATCTGTTTTCACTGCTGAGGCCGACTCAGACTTCCTTCTACATCTCGAGCTTCCGGACTCCTCCTTCTGCATGGGCGTCAAGGTACTGCCCGCGAACACTATTTTGGTTATGCGTGGTGGCCGAGTCTACGAAGGATCCATGTCAGATCTGATGGACTTACTGGAAGCTTTTCATGGAATCAAAGAAACCTTTTGCTTCGACATTGTCTCAGAGCCGGCAGCAATCGATGACACCAACTCTGGCTTTCTTGACCTTCTTGCGGGGTCGTCTGATGGCAGGACATCCAAGAAACGACCTGCTTCACAGACGCACGTTGTGCAAACACATGGCCCTCAGAACGAAGGGGAAATCGATGTTGGTGCTGAGCTGATGAACCTCATGAAGCGCGAGGTTGAGGAAGCCATGGACAATGTCAACTGCCAGACCGGCACGACCTTCTCGGCAACCACTTGTCCGTGCTGCCCGTGGCGCCGTTTCAACAAGCGAGCACACCTGCGGCAGCACCTCCTGTCTCAACATACGACAGCCAAGCGCTACTGTCCCTCCGGCACCAAGCAACTCCGGATTGCTGTGTCGATCTATGACCAGGATGCCATCACCGGGAAGGAGATGCAGCCATACTTTCTTAGCAGAGCTGCAGCTAT